ACAAATTAAGACTGGCCGCCAGAACTGGCAGTAAACAGCCCCTTAAAGTTTCAGCTTTCTAGCATTCCTGGCTCGTGAGTTATCACCTACTCGGACGGAGAACATCCCCCTAAGATTTCAGCGTTCAAGCTTCTCAGATCCCCGAGTTATGAACTTACCCCAAAAAAACTTTGGCGGGCCCGTACACGTGTGCCACGTGGGTGATGGCGCCAATTTTGGGGATTGGGACCGGCACGTGCATCTAGATCAATTTCCCGAAATTTCGGCTCTGCAGATTTTACAGGTCTTGAGATGAAAGTACGTGACAGACGCACACACAGACAACCCCTCGTCAATATGAGTTTTTGCATTGCATAGCTGCAAAAAATGCACAAAAACAAAATGAATTTCTGGTAGAAATTGACATTTCAAATACTTTGTCAGGATCCACACAAAGAAATTGATGGAATCGCTTATACGAAAGGGCCAGGAATGGGCGCTCCACTACAAGTTGGTGCTGTCGTGGCGCGTACTTTATCGCATTTATGGTCACTCCCACTTTACCCGGTGAACCATTGCGTTGGCCACATCGAAATGGGACGTCTTATTACGAAAGCCGAAAATCCGGTTGTGCTTTACGTCAGTGGAGGTAACACACAGGTTCGTTTGCATTCGACCAATTTATACTACTTATATTTAAGCCAGTTCGTGGCAGTTTCAAATGACCATATATTGTTATGTGTTGTTTTTTTTTAGGTAATTTGTTATTCTAATCGTCGATATCGAATATTTGGTGAGACGCTGGATATTGCTGTTGGAAACTGCCTGGATAGGTGATTTTTAATGCATCATAACATTTCATTGCTAATCAGGATTTTCACTAGTTGTGTACTTGTGTAGTACAGTAGGCCCGTCTTTTCTTGAAGCTTCGTTTTGTTTCATTTCAAAACTCAGCGTTTTCACATAGATTTGCTCGATTATTAGGACTGCCAAATGATCCATTTCCTGCATACAATCTCGAACAACTTGCTCTGGAGGGCAAGAAGCTTATCGCTTTGCCATATACGGTGAAGGGTATGGATATATCACTCTCCGGCATACTTTCGTACATTGAACATAAAGGCCTGCAGCTGATTCAAGAAGGGAAATGCACGAAAGCAGATCTCTGCTTCTCTCTGCAGGTTGGTGCAGTATTCTCTAAGTCAAATTTATATTACCAATACTTTGATAGTCCTGATAATAATGCACAAAAAGTTAGCAAAGTTGCTGTGATTTTCCAGCAAACTCATGCCATGTTGAGTCCAATTCCTCTTTTCTCTCTCTCTCTCTCCACCATACAACTCCTTTATTATTGTTCAGGTGTTAGTTTTTGTTATCTTTTGTGCTGCACTTTAGGAGACCGTATTTGCAATGTTGACTGAAATCACGGAGAGGGCAATGGCGCATTGCGAGAGCAAGGAAGTTTTGATCGTCGGTGGTGTTGGTTCCAATAAGCGACTTCAGTCGATGATGTCAATTATGGCTCACGAGCGGTGAATAAGTCATTCATAATTTAATAAACTTTAGCTCGTGTATAAATCTTCATAAGGCTTGTGCCTTAAGATGCGTCATGCACATCTACGCATTCGCTAACTGATGCGTATTCTGCCAGACCAAGGCGGAATTATCGCAAATTTGACCTGCTTCTTTTCCGGATTTGATTGATACTGCGCTCCCGATCTCACGCTTGCTCAGTTGTCATTGGAGCATTTATTAAAATGCGGTGATGAAGCAGAATATTAGAAATAAGCATGCAGTATTCTCAGCATTCACAAGTATAGTGAAAGCTTAATTCATCTAGCGCTCCGGTTTTTTAACGGCAAAGTAATTTAGTAACTTTTTGTTCTTAATGCTCAGAGGTTCTCACGAAATCTGAATAGAAGTGCTTTGCAGGGACGCAAAATTGTTTGCAACGGATGAACGGTTTTGTATCGACAACGGTGCGATGATTGCTCTTGTCGGCTGCCATATGGCCCAGGCGAAAATGGTCATTCCCATGGAACAGTGCACTACCACGCAGCGCTTTCGCACTGACCAAGTGCAAGTAGTTTGGAGAGAATAGCGCGAATCACCTGTGACTTCATTCTTGTTTAGAAGTTCATTTTTTTTTAGAAAAATTTTTCATTCAGTTGGAGTTCCCGCTTGTACTTTTATTGTTGAGGAAAGAAATTTGACTGTTTGGAAATACAAAGAATTTCCCACTACTTTTAGATCTTTTTTGCAGAATAACGTCGCTTGTAGCGAGGATCGCCCCTGCTTGCTTCGACTTCTTTTCTTTTTTCACGTCATTTAATCAATGTTTTTTTTTTTTTTTGACACTTTGGCCTGTTTTTTTCGACACAGTTCAATATTCTCTCTGTTGTTTAAGTCATGTTTTGCTCCTGCGTGTAATATTTTTTCATTTTCCTCGTTAAATTTTGTGCTTCTGAAGTTACTTCCTTCGCCTCTTTGGCGTAACATCGTTTTTCTTAGTATAATTCTTTCATTGGACTTTTCGAAAAAACGCATCAGTTTTTATGCGTTTTTGCCGTGCAGCGCTAGAGGCAGCAAAAACGCGTACTGTAACGACCCTATCATTGTGTGTGCATGTGTGTGTATGTTTGTGTGTGTGTGTTCGTCTGTCCGTGTGTTTTAACTAGGTCCTGCGTACGAGCACGTGAAAGTTTT